CCTGTTGGGTAGCTACTGTGGCTACCAAAGCATTTGTGGCTGGTGAGGGGAAGACTCTCAGGATCACTGACTTAGTTCCCCTGCCTGGCTATAAAAATTAAGCTTGAAAGTTCCCTTACTTAGGGGGTACATAGAATTGTAGCTGCTAACATTGAAACAAATAGAAGGCTTTGAAAAGAAAGATAAACGGAGAAGTTGAGTTTTTCCAGGAGTAGGGGAGATGTTGTAGAGGGTATTTTCAACACCTTTCATTTCTTAAACCTTCCACAGCTATTCTGAGGGAAGGGAAGGGGACTTGGTAACCAGTTCCACAGATCTGACTTGGACATGCAATTCCTGCAGGAGCTCACTGGGCCAAAAGTCCAAGTTGTTTCTAAGCCACATGCACTGGTCCAAGTTTGATAAGCTAACTTGGTTCTGCAAAGCTACTCTCAAGCCTAGATTTTATGCAGATCAGCACACTCCATTTTCTGATATTCATATCATTAGGTGGTATAATTGAGAACATTACAATTTCCTTACCCTTATCATAAACACTGACCAAATGAACAGTGCACAACAATCTGAAAACTCACCTTTAGTGTTTTCACAGCAACAGTGAGATTGTATTTCTTCCAGACACCAACGTACACCTCGCCATACTGCCCTCCCCCAAGTTTGTGCTTCATGGTGATATCAGTCCGCTCCATCTCCCACTTGTCGTGGATGGGAGACACTCCATAGACAGTGGGCTTATTGCACTTGGGTGCTGGGTAATGCAAAGTTGTCACCAGTCCGTCTGCTACTGTTGAGTGATGGTGCACTAGCTCTGCTAGTGTGCTGAAACGGCTTTCTGCTGTCACATATACCTGTTAAGAATGAACCAGGAATCTACTTAAATGAAGGCAGCTGGAAGCTTTCAGTAACACTGGAAAACAGGTACAGTAAAAACATTCTAGCAGGCTTAAAAAAACGGTAAGGGAACCAGACTTTAGAGTATTTGTTCTCATGTTGTTGGGCAAATGAATATTAATCTGTGGGATTGTCCTGGTTTCGGTTGGGATAGAGTTAATTTTCTTCCTAGTAGCTGGCACAGTGCTGTGTTTTGGATTTAGTATGAAAATAATGTTGATAACACACTGATGTTTTAGTTGTTGCTACGTACTGCTTATGCTAGTCAAGGACTTTTCAGCTTCCCGTGCTCTGCCAGGCGCACAAGAAACTGGGAGGGGGCACAGCCAGAATAGTTGATCCAAACTGACCAAAGGGCTGTTCCATACCATATGACATCATGCTCAGTATATAAACTGGGGGGAGTTGTCCGGGGAGCAGCGATCGCTGCTCGGAAACTGTCTGGGTATCGGTCAGCAGGTGGTGAGCAATTGCATTGTGCATTACTTGCTTTGTATATTAGTATTATTATATTGTTATTGTTATCATTATGGTTTTGCTTTATTTCAATTATTAAACTGTTCTTATCTCAACCCAGGAGTGTTTCTTGCTCTTACTCCTCCGATTCTCTACCCCATCCCAACGGGATAGGGGGAGTGAGCGAGCGGCTGCGTGGTGCTTAGTTGCTGGCTGGGGCTAAACCATGACAGGGATTTTTACCTGCAGAAGGCAGCTAGATATAAGCTATCACTTGAGAGCAGTGCTGTCTCATGCCTTGTGCTTTACAGGACTAGAAACTGGAATTCTTGTAGCCAAGCACAAGGCCAGTTTCTGCATCATTCAACACACTGTACTGCTATTTGATCAGGTTTCAAAACACGAATCAAAACTGCTGACTTACCAAAGCTCTGCTTGTTCTAAGTGGACCAATGGAAAGATATCACCACATCAAACCACAGCTGCTTTGCTCCCTAGCTGCTTTCAGCCAGGGTAAGTACTGTCTGCACTTCTTTCCAAACACTTGGTGTTTGGTGATTTACCACCGAACTCTCAACATACATGTTCTTTTTTTATATTAATCAACCAGTGGACCTGTTTTCTCTCACATACACCCCTCTCTTAACAGTCTGCAACCTGAGAGTCTGTACCACCTCTTAATTCATATCCTTATTTCCTCTCCCCACAGCATTATCCTGAGATCCTTACCTTTCCATCTGAGGTGGTATTGATCCTGTAGTGGTAAACACGTCCTTCGTACCTGAGCGAGATGGACAGCTGCCCTGGGCTGCTCTCGCTTTCACGAACCAGGAAGCTGCCATTGATGAGACTGCTCAACAGATACTCTGCTGCACTGCGTGACACTGGCCCATGGTACCATGAATGCTTTTCCAGGCTGTTCACTGGTGTGATGTAGTTGCTTGGTACCCAGCCCTGCCCATTCTTCGAACGTACCTCACTCCACTCACCATTCTGGTTGTAACCTAGGACTCGCAGCTTCTCACCTATGATCAGAAAGAAAAAAAGAAAAATAAGCACAGTGCAGTCTATTGGGTCTCATTAAGGGAGACACTCCCGACAGCTGACAAAGCCTGGGCTTGTAGCTTAACAATAAAAATCTGCAGCAATGATCTTATAACTAAACTGCTATATATAAAGTATTTATGAAGTAAAGTTTCAGACAGAATACCTAGGATACTGTTCCCTAATTTACTGCAGTGCGATTGATGAACTCAAAAAGCTTCCTGTAGTCCAGCTTTTTAGACTAGAAAGACTTTTTCTTCTTGGAGGGATGAGGTTTGTCTCCTTCTTGAAGCCTTAAATGGCATGTGATTTAAAACAGTTCTGCAGCAGGTCACATTCTGATATATGTACTGAAGAGAAATAGAAAATCTCTGTGCAATTCTTAATTCTTGATTTCACCCCAGTTGAAAGTGCTGAATTCTGTTATCAATAATGTAGAGGTTTTCCTCTGCCCCTCTGTAAAATAGGTGTCTCAACGGGCTGATGATTTGGGGAGCCTAGAACAGGAACAACTGCAGCTGGGCTAGACTGTTCGGCAGTGTTATACAAAGCTGTGTCTGTACTAAGAGAACTGCTCGGCAGGCGTCTCTCCAACACAAGTGAGAGAGAGACTGCTTATAATCATCAGTTTAGAGAATAATCTTTCTAACAGCACTCATTCCTGTTCCTATCCAGAGAAGGATTCTGCTTTCTATTTTCTGTTGCTAAGTTTTCAACCTAGTAGCTGCTCTGCAATTCAGAGCCTTACCTTTGGTGATGCTGAGCGTGTTGTCACCACTTGCTACAAAATCGTAAAGTGCAACAAAGAGATTGGGATCGCTCTCAGTGGCTCCAAGCAGGTTCTCCTTGGAGCTCCATCTGATGGCTTCATTCAGTGCCTGGGGTTCAACATCGCAACCATAGGGGCGGTGCAGGGCCTCTGAAGAAAAAACAGAAGAGGAAATTACTTTGTGTACAATTGTAAATAGTTCAAAACCCAGTGCACAGCAGAGCGAAGCTCCTACTGCACAATATGCTCTTTATGGAAAGGGAACACCACGTCTTAGGTCGGTGGTTTTCAATACCCGCTTTGCTGACTCTTGATTCTATAGTTTACTTCTAAAGTGGGCTGGAGAAAGTCATTAACTTCCCATATACCAAGTAGCAAGCTGTATATATAAAATTCCTATTTAATATTTGTTATAGATTTCTATTTATATACACCTCTATTTTAAAGTATTTTAGGCAGTCACAGATAGAAAAATAGGGGAGAAATTAAAAGCGCAGTTGTTTTTTTTTTTTATGTGAAGTAGTGAAGGAAACCTTTCGACGCTGAAATGTTATGTTTTATGTCTTTATTGTTTCTGTGGCCGAAGTAGGTAGCCTGGATCTGAAGCCGACATACAAATACAGGCAAGACAAACTAAATTATGACACAAATGAGATCTATAGGTTGGGACAGTAACTGATT